TATATTCTTTTGTGTTTGGGTGGAATGTTCTATAGATGTCTGTTAATCCCATTTGAGTCATAATATCTATTATTTCCTTTACTTCTCTATTAAGTTTATGTCTGGCAGACCTAGCCAATGGTGAGAGTCGAATGGTGAAGTCTCCCACTATTAGAGTGTGGGGTTTGATGAGTGATTATGTTTTAGTAATGTTTCTTTTACAAATATGGGTGCCCTTGTATTTGGAGAGTAGATGTTCAGAATGAGATTTCATCGTGATGGATTTTTTCCTGCAATGAATATGAAATGTCATTCTTCATCTCTTTTGATTACTTTTAGTTTGAAATCTATTTTGTTAGATATTAGGATAACTACACCAGCTTGTTTCTTAGGTCCATTCCATTGGAAAATCTTTTCTTAACCCTTTACTCTGAGGTAATGTCTGTCATTGTAGTTGATTTTTGTTTCTTGTTTGCAGAAGATGGATTTTCCTTTTCAATTCATCCTTTACTGGCTTTTAATGACCAGTGATTGCTAGTCCCAGTTATTTTTGTTTTTCTTGTTGGTGGTGTTGTATGTGCATTTCCCTTCTATTGAATTTGTTGGCATGGGATTGTTTATTGTCTGTTGTTTGTGGATACAGCTAACTTCCTGGGTTGGAGTTTTTCTAGTACTTTTGTAAATCTGGGTTTATGGATACGTATTGTTTAAATCTGGTTTTGTCATGGAATATCTTGTTTTCTCCACATATGGTAATTGAAAGCTTTGCTGGGTATAGAAGTCTGGTCTCTTAGTGTCTGCATAATGCCTGTTCAGGACCTTCTGGCTTTCATTGTTTCCATTGAGAAGTTGGGCGTAATTCTGATAGGTCTGTTTTTATATTTTACTTGGCTTTTTCCCTTTGCAGCTCTTAATATTCTTTCTTTACTCTGTATGTTGATTGTTTTGATTATTATCCTTTTTGGTTTTGGTTGAGTATATTTGGTATTTTGTAAGCTTCTTATACTTTCGTAGACATGTTCTTCTATGATTTTATTCAATATATTTTATGTGCCTTTGAATTGGAATTCTTCTCCTTCTTCTATCCCTATTATTCTTAGATTTGGTCTTTTTATGGTGTCCCAGATTCCCTGTATATTTTGTGTTAAGAATTTGTTGGATTTAACATTTTCTTTGATCAATGAATCTATTTCCTCTATTGTGCTTCAATGCCTGAAATTTTTCCATCTCTTGTATTCTGTTGTTTATGCTTGCATCTGTATTTCCTGATCATTTACCCATATTTTCCATTTCCAGAATTCCCTAGTTTGATTGCTTTCCCTTTGTTTTCTTTAAGGAATTTGATGATTTCTTCAGTTTTCTTTTGGTTTATCCTTTCCTCCAGTTCCTTAAGGGAACTTTACATTTACCTTTTAAGGGCCTCAGTCATCTCAAAGTTATTTTTAAGATTGTTTTCTTCTGCTTCATCAGTGTTGGTATGTTCGTTGGTATGGTCAGGTCTTGCTCTTGAAGATCTACTAGTTTCTGGTCATGCCTTATTGATCTTTATGTTGTTGTGTATATCCTTACACTATTGTCTACCCATCTCTTCCTCCAATCAATACAGGTGAAGCTTGTGCTTCAGAAGGTCTCTCATCCTCCAGTTGGCACAGTTGTTACCTGTGGCTCTGTTGAGTGTTCCTCCAGACCGAGGCAGAACAGAGTCTCCTGTGATTGCTCCTTCAGGTGCAGATGGGTCCAAGGTTCAGGTGGTCGGTCACTCCTCCAGGTGCAGTAGGATTCCCAGGTCCTGAAGTTGCTCCTCCAGGTGGAGGCAGGGCCAGTGCTCTGGTGATCACTCTTCTATGAGTAGGAGGGTCTGAGGCTCCAGTGGCCACTGATGTGGCAGGGTGTCTTGCACAGAAAATGGCACTGGATGCTGGCTGGGACACAGGTACTCTTTCCAAGAGGAACTTCTTAAGATGGTTTCTGGAAGCCACTGCTGTCCATGATTCCAGTCCACTAGCCCTTCTCGGCAGTACCTGCTCTTCTGCCTCTGATGCTCTGTTCCAAATCCATACTCTTTTATAATAGCAACTTGTACTTATGTGTAGAGCACTTACATTGTACAAGAATTTTTGTGAATAATTAAAGCACTATAACTTGCTGGTGCTGGGGAATATTTCCGCCCTTTAAAAAGACATCTTTTCCCTGGATATTGTTTTCAAATAATGTTTTCTTGTTGCAATACAATATTTCTTATCATTTAATGAAGTGACTACTAAGTATGGAACTGGTTTAACAAACACACCAAAACCTACATATTTTAGCAAGAGCATATAAATCATTTTCCACCAAGTCTAATATGCTGTTAATTAAAATGCATGGGTTAAAAACAAATAAGAAAATAAAATGTGGAAATCTGGTCAATGCTATTTCATCTTGATTTTAGGGTGTGTCATGCTTAGAGGTATGAAACAAGGGATGAGTGACTTCAGAACAATAAAATTCAACAATAATCTTAGATAATTTCTGTTGTTAACATAATTTGAAAGCCATTTCCCACTGCCTTCGTATCATAAAACACTTTTATCTCCTCTCTCAGTAATTTTCACTAAGATTAATACCATTTGCTCCTGTGTTTACCCAGATACAGATCTGAGTAACTTTGGCAGTTTCCATTACTACTTGTATGCAAGGAAGATAAGCACTGTTTTATTTTACCTTTGAGGATAGCCAGATAGTGTGTTAGTTTCTTAAGACAGTTAAACAAACAGGATTCCTACCCCATTTTAGCAGTTACTTGAGCATACTGGCTTCCAAGTTAAACCTTTGAAAGTTTCAGTAGTCATACAGACACAAAAGTTTGTATACTCAAAACTGTCACCTATAACATCAGACGTGTCAGCATCCCACCCACTTGAAGACTATGGGGCTGATTTCTGCATGAATTTATTGCAATAGTGATTAACTCCAAGTCACCAACAATGCAACAGTGTCTCGTTAAAGAAAGAAATAGAAGAACTTCTTGAAGTCATTTAACCAGGAGTGGTCCAGATTTGAATTTTTCTCTCTGTGTCTCTGTCTTCCATCTTCTATCTGTCATATGAGCCTGAATCTGTGCCTACCAAGACTATCTTATGAATCTGTGTCTGTGTGTTCTGTCTCTGTGTGTCTTTCCCTATGTTTATTTGTGTGTTTCTAGCCCTAGCAAAGGGCTTTTGTCTGTATTTATTGAACAGCACAGTATCCCACAGAGGAAGGAACAGGATACTTCAGGGAAATCTTTAACAGAATTTTACAAGGGACTAAGTCATTGGATTCAACTGATCCCTACTGACCCAAACAGTAGACAGTACTACAAGCATCATTGTTCATCAGTGATATCCATAAACATTGTGTTTAGCCTTTATGGTAGATTTTAAGCAGTTGCTTTCAACCTATATACTTGCTGCTTTCAGCAATTGACACACATGCATTACTCTGGTCAACGCATGGAAGAATACATAATTTCATATTACACCTATGCCTTAGCTTGGGTTGTTTAAGTTGATTACCTGGAAATTCAAGGCAAGTAAGGTTGGTTGTTACATTGTACTCTCAAAGACAAAGTACACAATAGGATAGCACTATTTAGTCTTAAGTGACCTTAAGGTGACCTCTGGTTGTGAGGTCCAATCTCTTAGAATGTAAGAGGTATTTTCATAATAGTGTATTGTCACAATATCCAACCCTTCCTTGGGATTTATTAAAATTCTTGGATTGTTTGGGTTATACATTTCATAAATTTGGAAATATTTTGGCCATATTTTCTTTAAGTATTTGTTTCAACTTCCTTGGAAGTTGAGGGTTACATGCGAACTCACAGCTTGACTTTCCCACACTAACACTCACATGCTCATTGTAACTTTCACCTGGCCCTTTTGTTACCTGGGGTCTTTGGGATATTTTCTGTTGCCATGTCTCCAAGTCTTTTCTTCTGCAATATCTAAGCAGTTCTTAACTGTGCTTGCTTTAGTTTTCATCACAGGAACTGTGCTTTTTACTTGTAGATACTTGGCTATTATCTTTATTATACTCTCCAAGTCTTCCTTAACATCGTTGAACCATTCTTATTTCAGAATGGTCATAGATTCACAGGAAGTTGAAATTTGGCATGCAGTGGTCCCTTGAACACTCCAGCAGCATAGGTGTTGATTATTATATCCGTATTTATTATATATTGATATTGATGATATATCTATAGTATAACATCAATCCTAGGGAATTGATATTTATACATTATGTATACATAGTTCTGGCCATGTTATTATATGTATAGATCTGTACGGCTAGCACTGCAATCAAGACACTGGTGTAGAACACAAGACACCTGCTCTTGAAACACTATATGGAAAATAATGCTGTATTTCATTTTGTCTGTGCATGTCTTATAACTTTTTATTACATTCCAGATATGTATCAATATGTCTTGTTTATACATCTTTCTTCCTATGGTATTTATCTCAGAATGTTCTTCCATTTGTTGGTGGCAGGAGTATGTATTTGGTACAAAATAATTATTTAATATTCCTAAGTCCTATGTATACTGTTTTCAGTTTCTTGGTGTTGTAGTAGTTCATCTTTTAATAGAAAGGTTCTTGCTTTTATTTTTATAAGACAATGTTTTCTAGGTATAATTATATTTTTGAGATCTACTACTAAAGCACCCTCCATTACTCGTGTTCTATTGACCCATAAAAAAGGAGGTAGCCACTACACAGGGAGTGAAATTTTTGGAAGGGCTTCAGTTCATATGATAACTGCTCAGGTGAAGACTTTTGTGAAAATTGCTTTCCTCTGCATTATTTATGAACTCTTCAGGCAACATTGTGAAAATTACAAATGACTGTTTGCTTTGTGTGTGTCTCTCTCTCTCTCTGTGTGTGTGTGTGTAGTGTATTAATCTGACTATTTTTTACTAAAGTGTTTGTAGTAGTGTGTTAATTTGCACACTGTTAAGGTGTTCTCTCCCACTGAAGTTAATATTTTCTGTTTCCAAGAAAAAAGCAGCAAGGTTGGGGAGCAGTCAGCCTTCCAGAGCCCATGCTGGTGGAGCTGCCACAGCCACCAAGGTAGGTTATTTCTGAATTCAGGAAAGCCTTTGATCCTCTCTGCTCTACAAGGAAGGCATCAGTCAGTGGGATACAGAGGGAAAGGAATCAGCGTTTGTGCGCGCGCGTGCACGCGTGCGCACACACACACACACACACACACACACACACACACACACACACACGAGGACCCCAGTGAGCCTTGTTCCTTTCTCTAGCAAGGCTGCACCTCCTAAAACATCACCAGCAATTGGAGAGGTAGTGTTCAAGTACCAGGGGCCACAGGAGGCATTGTCATTCAAAGGCCACATAGGCACTTGCTTATTTGTTTAGTTTCTGATTGAAAGGGCATGACACATGAAAACTTATTGAATATCTGTGTTGGGAGGGTGGATGTATCTTCTTTCAAAAATTCTATTTATGTGTGTGTTAGCTCCTGTGTGAGCTTTTGTGCACTATCCATGTGCAGGTGCCCTCTGAGGCAAGAGGTGTTGGAACCCCGGAACTGAAGTTGCAAGCAGTTCTGAGCTGACCTAAGTGGAAAAATAACCCAGCTCCCCTTCAAAACCAATAAGTGCTCTTACCCACTGAGCCATCTCTCCAGTCCTGGATTTAGCTACTTTGAATGATTTAAAACTTACTAAAATTATTTATGTTATAGTTATTGATGCCATATAATGTCTTCAATAGGTATTATGATAATAAGTATCTGTAGACAGTCTTAGGCTTTTGCATATACTGTGAGTGAAATATAGTTCTGTTCTCCTGATTCTTCAGAAATGATTCAAATATCTCTCATAAGCATTAATCACATCAGGTTCTCTGCTAAGTGTTGTGTGTAATTATGTTATAAACCCTCTCATAGCCTTATATTTTTTATTCGTCTATTCCTCAGGAAGCAATGGCTCAGAGAGCTTAGGTAATTTTGATGAGCTCTCCCAACAAATAAGATGGAGGTAGGATTGACCTAGGTTTCCTGAATGGTCCTTGATAATGATAGATTCCATAAACTCTGAGTAATTCTTGTAGTATTAACACCTTTGAGCTTTTCAATGTATAAAAGAATCACAGAGACATCAACTTTCAAGTTCAGAAAGAAAAAAAAATTTCTGTTGATTCTATTGCAACTCCCAGTTATGTACAAGATTATCCAAAACTATACTATTTCTGAATTATCTGCACACTATTTTATTTAAATACACTTTCTTTGAAACTGATGATTGCCTCATGAAGTCTGTTGACTTTTAAATTTATGCCATTTGTTTGATGAATGGTTGATACTTTAGTGTGTCCAGAGTCCTTAAGGTACTCAACCCAAGCCTCCGTGAAAAGATATTGGGCCTGTGAAATTAGGCTGGGGCCAGTAAAACCCAAATTTAAGGTCTTGAGTGTATCTATAGACTTTTTCAAATCTCAATTTTACCAGCCAGTAAAAATGGAAAAGAACACTGAGAGACTGTAACTCTTAAATACAGAGATGCTTTGCTGTTTTAGAGCTACACTGTTTTAGTCTTTGTTGCTGATGTTGGGGACTGGTGCTCACTCAAGAGGTACTTCTTCCAAAGTGTAACAGTCCGAAGTCTGGATTTCCTCTTTGCCATGTATTTCATTAGTATAACTGAGCTCATCAGAAGGTGAATAGGATTTCTTGTAATGGCTGCAAAGCTGAAAATGAATTGAAACTTATGAAGCATGGTACCCTGGACTGCACAGCTGCCAACTCCCAGGAAAACTGCTCTGTGTTTCCTCTGGGCAGTCCTCATTGTTTGTTGGTAAGGTACTGCTGAAGATTTTCCAAGTCTTAACTATTATGTAATTTGGGGCTATATTTAACTTACATATAAATTATGCCTTTCAAATATGATCTGATTCATTTGCAAATCCATGTACACAGTAAAAGTTAGTGAAGTCATTTGTAGGTCTCAAAATTACTATTAACTGAAACTGTTGAATGTTCAGTTTCTGCCTACTCCAAAACAGAATTTGTCCCAACAAAGTGAGTGATTATAAGCAATATCTGCCATGTAATTATAGGTGTAAAAGATCCAAAACTCTTGTAATCTGTATGTATCTACTCAAAATAGTTACTGTAAAATGTTATGCACCTAAAATTCAATTGTTAATAAATTAATAATGAACATTGATGAAATTTCAGGCATTATATAGACTGAATTGAATCAATATGATAATAATTGTTGTACATAATTTTTCATTCAGTTTTATTGCTGGAAGAGTTCTGAAAACTATTTTGACCATCAGGATAGCTTGTATGGAATGTCTCAGTAGAACAACAGGCTATTAGGATTTAGTAGTCAAAGTTATTTCTGATTAGAATCCACCCTGTCTAGTTTAGAATAGAAAGGAATTTCTTCAGGGACAATAAGCAGCTCATAGGCAACTCACAAGAATCCAGTAGAAGGGGACTCAAGCTTTGCTGCCTGGAATATTGTACAACTGCCCATGTAGCTTCTCTGACTAAATCCTGCCACAACTACAGCTCAGAATTTAGCTCCATTAGGACCAATACCAGAAACTGTTATTGTCAAATCCTTTCTGTGGAATTGCTGTCCTTATGGTTAGAAGCTTCCTCATATTGCTCATCTCCAAGCTCATCTTAACAACAAAAGAATTTATTTTTATTTATGTGAATGTATATGGCTATATGTGGGTATATGTCAGGTGAGTAGATGCCCTCAGAATCCAGAAGAAGGTGTTGGATCCTCTGGACCTAGTGCTTTAGGCAATGGTAAATTGCCTGGGGTGGGTACTAGCAACTGAAACTAGGGTGTCCCAGAAGAGCAGCAAGCACTCTTAACCTTAGCCTTCTCTCTGAATTCTCCAAGTATAGCACATTTGACTGGCCAATGTAACTAACATGTCCTAATCTTTCTACAACAGACTATGGACATATATTTTCTATGTTCTAGTTTGGTGAGATATGCTGTTGAAATGAAAAATTGGAAATATGCTAAAGGTGTTTGCTTGTGCCAATAGCTGTCAACTGGCAAGGACCCACTAAAGACTGAGAGACAGTAGAACTCTCTAGCTGAACAGTGAGGTCACTGACAATTTGTTCTTCAGCAGCAACTTACCTATAAGCAGAAGAAGCTGCCAGCACATTTTCCTCAATCTGAAAGGAAGAAGATCCACAAAAAGCAAGCAGCCATCTGGAAATGCTTTGTGCATGGACCATGTTCTCTTAACTTTGGTATCACAAATGTCTAAAGTTCTTGTTTTTCTTCCTCATAATCTGCGCCAGGAGCTGGATTAATTCTGACATTCAAATTATAATCCCCCAGATACTTTGAATCGTGTGGTTTGTGAGACAACCCTGGTAGATAGGAAACATTTTTATTTTAATAATCATACATATACTTTAATGTACTGTCAAGTGGCACAACTCATAATCATATCAACACTTTTGCTTAAGACAAGGCTAGATTCTGAGTTTAAATGGAAATCTATTTTAAAATTTGTAATCATAATATAATTGTAGCCAATTTAAAAATACTATATAGGTAAGGTATAAGTAACCAACATTTGGCAATGTATTCCTGATGGTAACCCTCATGTTATTTTAACTACAATTGGATCATTGGGAATTATTAAAATGAGATTTCTGATTAAAGAAGTCTGGAGTGAGGCTCACGTCCTGGTTTTCTAACAAGCTCCCAGCTCTTTAACTACCCTGGGTTAGATTACTAGTGTACCAATGGAGAATTTGACCAAAATGAACATGCTCAGCTTTGAAGTTAAATAATTGATTTCCGAGCTGGTCCTAGTATTTAAGTATTGAATAGGCATCACCAGGCAAAGAAAACATCATATGATCTGAAAACCACACTCAGAGGACAACCCTTAGAGAGCACCAGTGACTGGCAAGGGAGGCACTGAGGGACATCCTTGTTCATTTCTGAGGTTGGGAGCCCCTTTCTCCCTGGATAAGGATCGCTGGAAAGTTTACTCCTAACCCTGTGGTTACTATTCTGAGGCCTCTAGAGCGCAGAACCCCTCCCCCACCTTTCATTGAAGAAGTCACAGCTGCCTAATGCCAGGAGCTAGGAGCCAGGGCTCATACCTACTGGAGTATGTTCCAACCAAGTCTGTGCTATTTTCGTCAGGAGGAAAATAATTCAGTGGAAACGAGGAGAACTGAAGTACCTAACTTCTCCCAAAGAAAGGACAATTCTAGCAATCAACAAGACATAAAATCTAAGTTATATTTCCATTAAGAAGAATTCTAACGAGGGATTTGTGGGGATTATAAAACAGCAGAGTTGGGCATTGTGTAACTTCATAGGCTTAGAAAGTGGAAACAAGTCCATTGTGCAAACACCCTGAGTGGGAAGGCGGAGGGTGGCACCTGCCCTGACTGACAATGGGATGTGGAGAATACAACAGTTGAAGGGAGAGCTCCCCTCTGTCAGTGACTCCCCAATCACCACCCGTGTTGGCTGAATACAGCACTGAATCTTTGCTCAGCTGTCGTTGTCTCAGCTGGGTGTGAAGCCTCTATTCCCCAAACGCAGGTCACCATCACCCCTTTCCAACCAAGGACCTGGGTGATTATCCTTGTTGGTGTGTGGCTTTAGGAAAACTTGGATTTCCATATGTCTTTTAAAATATGGCAACTAACTCTATAACTTGGCCTTCTCCTCAGAGTGTTGCCTTAATTAATTTATTTATCAACCTAGAATAGCAGTATTGAGTCCTGAATTTACATATTTTATTCGATAGTTTCAAATCTATCCTTTGAAATTTTCAATCATGAAATAGTATAATGTACAATGATTTAGTACATTTAGAATTCTGTTAGACTGGTCTTTTAAAAAAAATCCAGTATGCAGTTTTAGGGGTGTGTATAACCCAGGATTAACTTCATGGCTTCAAAGGGCTATTTAGGGAGTGCACTGGCAGAAGGTCGCTAACCCTTGCTGCTTATTTTGTTAGTCAAAAAAAAAAAAGGACACCCTGGAGCATTAGACCTGCCATCCCCTGCTGTGGACAATACATAGAGCACA